CTACCGCCACCTGCAGGAAATGATCCTATTGAGATCAAAGGGTAGGGACAAGGGTGTCCTACAAAATCAAACATGCCAACCTACAGGCCACTTTCAAACAAGCTCAAGTCAAGCAATCCATCTACAAACACATTCCTCCAAATTGCTGCTCAGACAAGGGACGAAAACGTTTTAATGCATCTGACACTGGAACCACACACATACACAGCGTCATGGCAATTGCCTGAAGGCAGCTTTGAAATGCTGCCCTCGCTACAGATGGTCTAAGTTCTAATCATCTGTCTCTATCTGATCCGAAAAAAACGTTTCCACCATGTCAGCTGCGACCTCCCTGCATCGGCCCAGTCACTCCAGGTAATTTTCACCTCTGCCCATTCCCTCAAGTTAACTGCTTCCTCTTCAGCTGTCTGTGTGAGAAAAGAGATTCCCTGACTAGGTACAGTCTCTGAGGCAACGCACCAAGTCCACTGCCATTTCCAGTTGGTCTCCTTCTCATCAGTCTGCTCAGACACCCCTAAGAGGAAGAAGCTCAGAGACCTGGGCTCCAGCTCCACCAGCTGTCAGGTACCTGCAGACCCCCCCACCCCCAGGTGCCCGGCTTACATTGGGGGTGAAGGTACGGGACAGGAGCTCTTCTCGCTGTCTCTCCTGCTGCTCCCTTGTGTACCGCCGATGCTGGAAGTTTCTGAGGGCAGTCTGCAGGTGCTGGACATCATACTTTAACTGGTCAACACGACTAGAATTGAGAGAGAGAGAGAGAGAGACAGATTACATTCCAGGGACCTGGGGCGGCGCAATTCGATGTCGCCAGGCTGTGTGTTCAGCAAAGAACACATTTCCTTACTCTCTCTATACCACTTCGTGCTATCCCTCCCCAGAATAATCTGATTTTTACCAATGGTGTTGAAAATAAAGAAGTGGCTCGTGGTTAAAGTAGGGCCGTAGCACACGAGATTCCAGCAGCTTAGCTTAAATACCTGCTGCTCTCTGATTCTGGACGCAGGACAGGGAACAGGTGACAGGAAGCGGGCTCCATGACCTCTTCCTGACCTTCTATGGATTATATCGCTTTCCTGGAAGAGGCCCAAGGGCATCTTTGGAGTAAAGCATCAACAGAGTTTCATAAAACTTTTGGGAGCAGGGGCTGGGGTGGAAGTGGTGAGAGTGGTTTATTTTAATTTCATGGGGGAGTATCAAACATTAGATCAGTATTTCATTACAAACAGACTGATTGAAATGATTGAGCAAGATTCATTTCAACCTAAGAATGTGGCGGGGACCAAACGGCAGAGTAAAGGCCCTGGCAGCATTAGGCTCCAGTGGCCATGGGTCTGGTCAGAAAAACAGCACCAGAGGCAGCATGTCACAGTGACACCAATGAGATGCGGAGACACAGACTCTGAGCCACTAACCTCACAGACGTTTTATTCTGGGAGAGTGTCACTCAACCAGAACCCTTTATGGAGACTTTCTCTTTGCACAGTCTCAATTTTTCAATGTGTAAATGGAGTTTCACACTATTCAAATAGCCTCCCCTGGGAGAAAGGCCTGTCTTGGGGGCCTGGGGTATGACAGCACTCACAGTTTGGCATTCTGTCTTTTGTTAGGGGGCTCCTTGCTGGACAAAATCTCCAGACGTTCTAGATGGCTGAATATCTGGTCTATGCTTGCTTGGATTTCATTTTCTACTACTGCACAAAGAAAAAAAAGAAAAATTACTGGAAAAGAGGCAATGAACTTAAATTAGAATAATAAATCAAACATATTTTTACCATATCCAACAGACTCAGAAATATGTATTTCAAAAGGAGGAAAATGCATACACTAATCAATAATGGAAAAAAATTCAGGTTATACTAAGAGACTCTGTAAACGTTTCAAATATATATAACTGTTAATGCCAAAACAATGCCAATTTTTTAATAAGCTGAGGATAAATGCGTAGGAATAAATTTCCTGCCTTTAGAAAATAAAATGAACATTTAAAGGTTGTCCAAATAAATTTTTTAAGCAAAATGCAGTATTTTCTAATACAGAATGAGGTCTCTTTTCCTTTGAGATTATTGTCAGATATGGATTGTTAAATATCTAGTAAAATGACAATTCCCTACAGTCATGAGGTTAAAAGAAAGCACAAAGGGGACGATTAGAAATTGAACATAGAAAAGCGTTTACTTCAGGCTTTCCGTAAGAATGGGCGGGCAGCTGTTGGAGTCCCCAAAATAGACCAGGTATCGGTAGGAAAGGCCCAGGAAAGAATCCACAGAGGTAAAGATATGATAAATACAGCCATTTTCCTTATCCCTTGTGATAAACAGTCAAAACGACCTCTTTTCCATTCCTAATCATGTAGCAATGAGATTGTGGGGAGGCAAACAAAGGCGAGGGACACAAACTAAACCGTGCACAAAAGCAGGCACCCAGACTGCTTCTTGCCCCAGAAAGAAACGACAGCAATGTCACCTTCCTGGGTCAGCTAGAACACGGTCAGGTACGGAAGCAAGGGAAGAGGTACTTTTGAGGCTGCGGAAGGAGGCAGGAGGACACAGAAGACATGCGCATGGTGACAGCCAAGCAGTGAGGTAACAAGGCAGTTTCTGCAGTGTAGGTAACCAGTCGTGTCTGCATGGCCGACTCAGAAAAAGGACCTTTTCTTATACTAGAAAAGAAACTAAAAAACACAAAGCAGCTCCTTCTCCAAAGAAACCATGGTGTGGGAACTAAACTAATCGATATTGCCATTCGTTTCTGAATAACCCTCCTAAAAAGCCACACTTCTCAGCTCAGAAGAAATGACCATTCCAGTTCAACATCTCTGACTTTTTGTGGAGCACATTCCTCTAGGGACCAGGTAATTAGATTAAGACAGATGGGGAAAGGACTTCCACTCCCACGGGGCCATGTCAGGTGGAGCAGAGGGGCAATGGGGGCTGAGCCTTGTGGATCCCAAAGGCACAACCAGGGAGATCAGTGACTGTGCCATAGGGTTTTCTGTCCCTAACAACAGAGCTCATTCCGCGCTGAATCATTAAGCCTCCGAGGCAGAAATGCAGTCAGGAAACCCAGCCCATTAGCACCATGTCATCAGAGAAAGGACTCTGGTCTCCACAGTTAATTACTCACAGTGCACAGACTGCTTGTCTGCCGTCTCCAGGCGTCCCATGTGAGACTGGATCTCATGGACCTGCCTATCAAAGGAAGAGGGAGGAAATGAGTGAAACAGGAGTGATCAACAGCGCTGCAGTCAGGAAAGACAACTTCTCTGATGCCAACATGGAGCTGACTTCAACGCACAGCATCACTGAACTGTAAAATCTGTATGTGGCACTTCAGGCCACGTTTTGGCATGGTTTGTAATATTGTCACATGAATACTACCGATTGGCAGCATTTACTGAGTGCTTACCACATCTGAGACATTCTGCAAAGTCAATAACCCTATGAGCAAAGTTTATTATCATTCTCATTTTATAAATAAGACAACTGAAGTCCAGAAAGGTTATGTAACTTGTTCAAGGTCGCAGAGCAAGTGATAAACCTCGATCTGGGCCAGCCAATCCCACTCTCTGTAGTTTGACCCAATGTGCTGAGCCCTGGTCTGTACTAGGGAGAGTCAAAGGGCAAGAGAGATACAATCCTTGTCCTTGAGAACAATGCAATTAGGAACGGCAGGCCACACAGACAAGAGAAGTCCCAAGAAGCTTTACGAAAACACTCACACATGTAAGAGTAAACAAACAGAAAGCTGAAGAGCTCAGCGCAGTGGTGCCAAGGCAAGGGAAGGGAACGAAAGGGCTGTGGCCGAGAAAGAGTGAGCTGGGAGGAGTTTCGTGGGTGAAGGGAGTTCTGCACATCATTTTGAAGGGAGACACGATTTGCTGAAGGAAGATATGAAGAAGATGATACGCAAAAAGGCATGCAAGGCACGCCATGTGCATGATGAGCAGGCTGGCCTGCCCGGAAGAAGGTCAGGGTCAGAGGGGAGAGGGGGGATGAGGCGATCAGTTGGAGGAAACCATCAGGGGAAGGCCCTCAAAGACAGGACTCTCCTGTTTGGGAAACATCTTTCCTTGGCAATGGGGCAACTACCATCTCATCTGGAAATGCAACACTGTACCCTGGCCCTCTGGCGTGGCCCCAGACATCAGGCCCCAGAGCACTCTCTGGGGGCTCCCCAGGGCTTGGCCCCAAGGTCACCCTCAGAACCCTTCCTAAGGGTCCCTGGGATCAGTCCTTGCAATTTTGCTTACACCACCCCCAACAGCCGCCTCCTGGTGCTTCCCGTCTCTCCGTGTTGGAGCCACAGGAAAGGGGCCTGCTGAGTTCTTACATCTTCCCCAGCCCTTGAGGGAAAGGTCAGCAACCATTTTCCACCATGAGCACCACAAACTGGGACCCCAAATGTACAGACGTCAGCAGGAGCCCAAACTGGGTTTCATCTTGCCTCTAGGCTTTTCCAGGGCTTCCCTGCAGCCTCTAAACATGACCCATGGCACCAGAAGCAAGGCCAGCCCTCTGATGACTCCCAGAGTGCTCCTGGGCAAGACCCGTGGCCCCGAGGGGCAGCTAGAAATCCCTATTACAGTCTGAGAGGCCAGGCTGCTACTTCAGCGAGGTAAGTCCGGACATTTCAGAACGGGGCACGTGGGGACGTGGAGGCAGATGGAGGCATGCAGCCTGAGGTAACCAACATCTGGATCAGGGTACCCGTGGAAACAGCTATAGAGGATTAGACGGTAACGCTGACAGAAAGGACAATTAAGGTTTTACTGAAGGCCTGGATGTGGATGGTGAGGTTAATTTTCAGTGGTAGCTTAACAGAGCAAATCTGAAAACTGGTGACATTACTGACAGGAACAGGAACTAAAAAAGGGGAGGGGCAAAGAACAGCCAAGACACTCTGAACAGGTATGAAAGGGATGACTTGTCATACCTGCTATTAAGACTATTACAAAGACTTAATTAAAACAATACAGTAGTATGCAGGGAGAGACAATGATAGACAAACTCTAACCCCTAACCCTGACTCAAGAGGCAAGAATAAAAGCCAGAAACAGGCCTACATATTTGGGGATTTGGTGACATAAATCGTTAGGAAAACAATGGACTACGATAAATGCTGACAGCTCAGTTTGTTATCCATATGGAAAAAAGATACCTCATAATACACAAAAATAAACTCAAGATGGTTTGAAACCTAAATGTAAAAAGTAAGGCTTTAAAACTTTCTGAAGAAAATATAGGTGTGCATATTATGACTTCAGGTAAAAGATGGGTTTCATAAACAAGACAAAAAACAAAACTGCCCTCCAAAATGACCATAAACCACAGAAGACTGATACATTTGACTGTGTAAAACAAAAAACTTTACACGAAAGGCACCATAAAAAAATAAAGACAGGCAGAGACTGGAATATATCTGCAGCAGATAACAAATGACTAATGTCCAGAATACATAACGAACTGCTACAAATAGGAAATATCAAACAAAGCAATTTTTTTTAAATAGGCAAAGGGCATCTGACATAATAGGAAACCCAAGTGGTCAATAAATATATGATGAGATACTCAACTTTACTAGTCATCAGGAGGATGTAAATTAAACACAATGAGATAACATGTTTCTCACACCAGATTGACAAATATTTTAAAGTTTGATAACACACACTGAAAAGGACACAGAGAAACTAGAACTCTCATACACAGTAGGATTATAAACTGGTAGAAACACTTTTAATAGATTTGTGACAATAACGGAGAGTCAAATACATGTATGTCCTATGACCCAGCATTCCACTTCTAGGAACATGTACTTGAGAGGGAAGGGAATGGGTGTGGGAGCTTTGAATTCTACTCTTTAAATCAATGATCTGAAGCATATGTACTACATATGAGTCCTAACACATGGCTTATATTATTCTCTATTTTTATATGTTTGAAATATTTCATAGATAAAATAACTAATCATAATAATTTTTCAGATATCGAGTCAATGGTTTAACAAGTATCATTCATTTATTTACTCACTCAGCCATTCATTCATTCATTCACTCATTCAACAAGTATGAGAGATATACAATCAAAGCAGTCTATGAGGGCTTGAGGAAAATAAAACCACAGGTGTGTCCACAGTGGGAAAGGAGCGACACACTGAGGATACCACAGTAAGTTAATGCTGATGTCAAGGGGCATTTGATAGTTTCACATGATACCTTACGATAAATATGGCGTGACGATACTACAGACTGAGGGAGTGACTCCCAGTGTTCCACCACAGCCCTGCCTTTGGCTCTATGTTTTGCTCAATATTTTAAAAAATCAACTTATGTTTATGAAATTTGCACATGATTCTGTGCTATAATGAGGGGTTAGGATACCGTACAAAAAAGCAAACATTAACATTTTCCATTTAGGCTAAAACAGTAGGATAAAATTTGTAGGGATGGAAAGTATTTTGACTTTAGATTAAAAAAAAAGTCAAATGCACACGACAGAGTGGCATTCAATTTTGGGAGTAATCTGTTAAAGGGACCCTATCAATTAAAGGTTTCCCCCAATGGGAGATGAACAAGATGACTGGGGAAGAGTTTACAAGTCAAATCACAAAGAGGAAAGGTCAAAAGAGCTAGTGATAATAAGTCTCTTAGAAAAGAAAACACAACAGTAAAATGGGGCAGCTGGTGCGTTTCAGGTTATCTGAGTTGACCTACAGGAAGGGGAAGGGGATTGCTCTCCGTTGCTGCTCCTTAAGGGAGACCCAGGACTAAAAGGTACAAATCAATTTCAAGATGACAGATTTCAGCTCAATACAAGGGGAAAAAAAAAGCCTGGGGTCCGTGATGGACTTGGGCGATAACATAACCAAGCAGAGGCCTAGTGGCAAATAAGCAAGGGTCACTGTTGCTGACTTTTAAAAAGGGTTTGTAGAAGATCTAGGAAGAATTTTAAAACAGAATTGCTTTTTAAAAGTCCATCCATGCCGCCTCTAACCACCATAAGTAGGAAACAAGGTTTTGGAGTTAAAATTTAAGATCTGGGATGAAGTTCTAGTACCACTGTGTACTAGCTGAGGGATACTGAACAAGTCATTGAACTCCTTGGTGCCTCAGTTTCCTCAACTGTAAAGTAGGGATACTAATAATCACAATTATTTAAAGGGTGGTAGATCCAAATGCAATGTGAGAATGCTGTGTCAACTATACATCCTGCAAAAATGTGTTGTTTTACTTAAGTTTAAAGCAGTGAAACCATTTGGTCATTTTCACCTCACCCACACTGCCTCTATATATAGTGTTTAGGCTCTCATCAGAAGGAAAACAAAAAGGAAAAACTAGGCCTGACATAAGGTAATAGTTCTTAAACCCAGCTACTCATCAAAATCACCTGCATAGCTTGTTAAAAAATAGAGCTACTTGTGTTCCAGACCTACTGAATCAGAATTTGAAGAACTACAGAGGGGACAAATGGGGCAGCTTTACAACCACTGAGATCTCAAAAATAGAAGCCTGGCTATTGGCTCCTCTTAAAAAGTTCATTCTTTATATGAATGAAGCATTAAGTGTAAAATGTTTATTCAGTTTATTTTTTTTCCCCATTCGTTGTTCAGGCAGTTCAGGAGTTTTTAAAATGCCTAACTTTAAAATGTTTATCTAATTGCAATGTACTTTCAGGGACATGGCAAGAGATAATCACAAATTGGGTTCAAAGTTCCAGTAAAATTAATATGTTCAATTACTGTTGTGTCAATTCAGCTACAAGCATTGATTTCTGCGAATGCAGAAGTTCATTTCTGATGCTCACAGGACTCCATGTGTTTCCTTTTAAAGATACTCAAGAAAAGGCAGATCAGAATATGCAGCATGAAAGAAGGTAAACTCCTTGAGAGTAGGGCTATACTACCAGCACTGACAATGGTGCCTGGCACATAGTACATGCTCAATAAATATTCGCTGAATGAATCAGTGACTGCATAATAGAGGGCCTAATAGTGACAGACCAAATTTTACCCACTGCCTGTTTTTGTAAATAAAGCTTTATTGGAATACATTCAGATCCATTTGCTTACATATTGTCTATGGCTGCTTTCGAGCCACACAAGCACAGTAAAGTAGCTGCCACAGAAGCTGTATGGCCCACAAAACCTAAAACATATACTATCTGGTTCTTGACAGAAAAAGTTGGTAAGCCGT